AGAGAGAGAGAGAGAGAGAGAGAGAGAGAGAGAGAGAGAGAGAGAGAGAGAGGTGGGAGAAGGGTCAACGACTTAAAGTTGGTTGTAATCCAGAATGTCTATACAATTCTGATATCAACGTCTGTTGTTTCATGGTCAGTTGGCGATTCAGCACAGCGCAACCAATAAGCCACTACCAGAAGAGGTATCCGTCCGATACCTTCAAGCCTGCCGACAGTGCCCCGCCACACCTCACAAAATCAATGAGAAGCCTGCTTGCCATGCCACCTCTGCAGTCTCTGAGCAATCAACTAAAGCCATGCTCCTCCTTCCGCTCGGCCTCCCAGGAATCATGTCACACACATTGCACAATTGGTAGAGGTCCGACAATGCGGGTCGGAGGTGTCAGTAGAAGCCCATACTGCAGTCCACAGTCCTAGAAAACCCGAACCACATCTGGGTTTCTGGGTTTTCAGTCCAGCCCATCATCGAGCTTGAAGTACACAACTGAGCTTCAGTCCAACCGAAACATACTGCTAACAGCAAACACTGACGGCAGAACATCAATGAGCAGCTGACGGCAAAATATGCGTCAAAACCGGGAATGCCACCACTTAAAGCACCTCACTTCCTGCTGTGGAAAAAGCAGTACATGCGCCCTCCATCCAATAACGACTATGTATTGCAGATTGACTCCACACCTTGCATATAGGAGGGACTCTACAACTCTCTCCCTGCAACCCTCCCCCTCCTGGGGTCTCTCTCTCTCTCTCTCTCTCTCTCTCTCTCTCTCTCTCTCTCTCTCTCTCTCTCTCTCTCCGTCTCTCTCTCTCTCTTGCCCCGACTGCTATCCGACTGCTATTTGGAACAGAATACACTGGCCCTCCACGTAGGAGCTTCAGACGATCCATAAGAAGTAGACTTCACACCTGGTGTAAACGAGAGACTCTACACCGCTCTCTCTCTCTCTCTCTCTCTCCCTCCCTCCCTGTCCCCCCGCCCTTACCATCCCCCCCTCCCCCCCCCTCCCCACACAATCGGAGTCGTATGGCTCTGACGGATGACCTGACCCTGTCCATCCACAACCCTCTCATCTTGACAGCCTGATTTCAGATGAGAACACGTTCTCCGACAGTGATAGGCTGAAGCATGGTCGTGTGTGCCATGCTTAACTGGCAGACAATCTTTCCCGCAGCGAAGCACTAGACAGAGCTTGTATGCAAGACAGACTGGGTGCAATGATGCCTAATGGTGTTAGCATGCCATATCTCCATATGGCTCTACTCTCCTTCCTGGCTAGTCCAAGAACAGGCATTCAGGCAGAAGAAGTATATGATGAGGCCACCTCCAAGAGCACAAGATGTTACAGCATAGATGACAACAGTCACATCATTCATGCCGACAGCGCAGGCCTGTGTGGGTGCAACACTGCAGTTGAGTTCTGAGGGCTACTGACACTACGGTAGGACTTCTTATACTAAGCTCTGGTCATGATCGCAGTCAGATTCATCCGAACGTCTCTGGGGAAAGAAGAGGTGTGTTGTGTTGAGTGTGCTGCTCCCCCCCCCCCCCCCCTGCCCCTTCTCTATTCAAATCGCTTTCTTTGTGTGCTCATGCCTCGCTTTCCAAGTGAACGAATCACACAACGCTGCCGTGACGACTATGGACCTACATTCTCCATACACGCTTCCCCAAATAGAAAGTCGGGTCATCAAAGTTGTATGCAGGGGCTACGTTCATGCATGCCAGCGCATCTTCAACGACCCCGCTTGGTCTTTGTGAAATCGCTAATGGACTTTCACAAGTTACAATTGCTACGTGAGTTATGTGAGTCACACCAACTCCAGAACCACACCTATGACTCCTGAGACGTAACCAACTTAACGCTATGTATAGCTTACAGCACAGTGCTATACTTGATCCTGACAGGAGTCTAATCCATAGTCTACTGAGTCCACCGCCTGAAGGGACTAGAAATCTTAATTGAAAAAAATAAATGGACACCGTAACTTGGAAATCTGAGGTATATCTTATGGCACCACAAACTGGAGTGCTATCTCCATCTCTGTAATTGTGAAATACAAATGCGTGCTATTGGAAAAAATTGGCAGACTATAGAATAGCTAATGTCAGCCAAGTATAGAAAACTGACAGACTAATTAATATCTGTAGGACTGATTCCATCACAACTACCTCTTTTCTCAAGTACCAATGACAGTGTTGAGTAATGAAGTAGCAATGATGTTTATGTGTGTAATGATAACCTCTGTTGGTAAATATTTTTCTGTGGTCATGACCTGTCTTGTAATCATCATTCATCGTAGTGAAATTGTATATCTGTGACGTAATGGACTCGGCGAATCGGAGACAGAAGATCTTCAACGACACCTACGTGAGATCATCATTCATCGTAGTGAAATTGTATATCTGTGACGTAATGGACTCGGCGAATCTGAGACAAAAGATCTTCAACGACACCTACGTGAGCTCCCGCTGGCGCGACGACGGACATGCAAATCGTACCAGAAGGCAGCAGCACTTATTGTGTGTGCACTAGCTTCAACAACACAACATTGAAGTTATAATCTAATGATGATCCCATCAAACTTATTACTCATGATCTCATGCTCGTGAATGAACACAGTGCGAGTAAAATTTGTCTGTCCAAAGTTCGCGCGTTGGGCCATAAATTGGGATTAAGTGGTGGAAAACCCCCCATGAAAAAACCTTCTTTTCCGATTTTTTCCGCGCAAACACTTTTCCTGTTTGACAAGACGAGCGCTTGCCTACCCGAAAATGAAACAATCTGGTGCGAACACAATGCCAAGTTCATAATCTGGTAGGAAGAGGCCAAGCGGTCGGCCGGGACCCAATCTCGTCCACCAGATTTTTACATCCAACGACCCGCCTGTATTGCCCGTGGGGGACCCTTCTTGCCAGGCCGGAAAAGTCCGGGTGCTGAAAACCAAAAAGGTTCTGAAAACCAAAAGGGCTTACCAATGGGCCTTCTCTACCAATTTTTTTTCCCGCTGTAAAAAAAATGCCACCACGTTACATTTGAATTCCAAACTTACTGAGGCTCATCCTGTCTCAACAGAAAAGCACTCATTCACTACTGACTACTGCTGTGCGCGTACAGTTGAAAAGCACTCATTCACTACTGACTACTGCTGTGCCGTGTACGCGCATTCAACAAGAATCTCGAAGAAATGAACAAGAACCTTCTTAAAGGGAGTCGAAGCACAACACTGCCGCTTATCACCTACCTACACACCTATCGCAAGGAAATTACAAAATCATTTTTTTTTTAAACGCACTTTGTAGGGAAGTCAGAAAGCAATACATAACTCGTGTCAATGGAGTCGGAAAGCAGACTAGCCGTGACGAACGGACGGTTAAGAACGGTGGTCAAGGATTTCGCAGATTCAAGCCGCTGCTCCATGAAGCCCCCCCCAACACTCTCCTGCCTTGTCAAACCCATGGCTGACCATGGCTAACACCATGCTTACAGAAATTACCATAGTAACTACTACGCTCAACAAAGCCATTTTCAATTAACCTCATAAATCATTCAACACTGGCTGATGACGAAGCCATGATCCAGCCCACCATAATGACTAAGGATTTAATTTACTGCGGTGAAAAAAAGGTATCACTATAATTAACAGTTCGAACTAGCAAACTCCATCCACCATAGTGAATGCTTTGAAAGGGAGCATTGAGTGTGTGTGAACCCCTGCCAAGCAAACGAAAATCTTAACCGCGGTTAGGCTTGCAAGCTGCGGAACCTCAGCTGCTTGCAGCTACTCGATGGTGGTAAAGGGGGACGGAATTCAGGAATTCAGTCATGTGTCGGGTGAACTGCAGCTTCTTCTTCAAAGGAGCTGCTAAGCTTGCCTCCCCTCTCCGACAGAGCAATCATACTGACAGCCTGGAAGTGGAACAGACGACGCAGACACTGACTGATCGTAACCAACCAAAAGACTGACATCAACTCATGCGCACGTGGTCGGCCAGGCCCAGAAACAGCAAATAAAACATACGGAATTCAGTCATGTGTCGGGTGAACTGCAGCTTCTTCAAAGGAGCTGCTAAGCTTGCCTCCCCTCTCTGACAGAGCAATCATGCGGACAGCCTGGAAGTGGAACAGACGACGCGGACACTGACTGATCGTAACCAACCAAAAGACTACGATCAACTCATGCACACATGGTCGGCCAGGCCCAGAAACAGCAAATAAAACATCACAGAGACTGACTCTATGGATTGGAGGAAGGACTCTTTGGCGACAGACAGCAAGTGTGACGGTGACATCACGTTAATAGGGAAGTCCGATAGCTAAGCTCAGTCACTAAATGCGAAGGAGGTATTCTGGCATGATTGAATAACTCCTTTACAGGCAGAATCGCACACACAGGGCGGATCAGACAGACTCACCTCCTAAAAGAGCTTCCTCGGAATGAGGCGTGCCATCCTGACATGGAGAAATCATCGTCAGAGTCTTCTGACTTATCATGAGCAATGATTGGCCAAGCATGAAGACTGAATCGCCAATGCCGTCCGCACCCGGCAAGTTCATTTATCCACTGGCATGCACGTATCCACCGGCAAGACACCTCGACTCCACTTCCTCCTGGCAGCTGATATTACGTGGATGACAACAGTTCAGTCGGAACCAGATGCAGAGGTCACACGGCCACAATCGTAACCAAATGCGGAGCAAGCATCACGACCACAATCGTAACCAGATGCGGGGCAAGCATCATGACCACAATCGTAACAAGATGCAGAGCAACCATCAGATCACAATCGTAACCAGATGCAGAGCAAGCACCAGGACCACAATAACCAGATGCAGAGCAAGCATCATGACTAAGCCGCACAGAACACAATTTTCCGGACAGCCAGGGCAGCATCTTCTTTACAGATTATTCCCCGTCTCGTCTTTCCTATATGGATGCTGGGTCCATTCACCCACGCTCGGTTCAGGCCTGAGGGGAAAACCGGCAGCTGCCGACACCTCAGTTCTTTCCTTCGGGAGGCAGGACAGTCACCCTACAGCTACCGTCATCAACTGCTGCCGCCATAGAATCGTAGTCGATACACCAATATGCTCCTTTAACCCACTTCTGACTGTTCTCAACTTCTCACAGATTTTGCAAACGTCCCGATAGCATCTGCAAGTCCACGTCTATCCGAATGCGGCACAATTATTGGGCCCAAGTTACGACGACCACGACCCGCCTGGCTGCAAGGCCACATAAAAGACCAGCCACTCAGAGAAAGGGGCTATATGCTGTCGTTGTGCCCGATCAGTCCATGGTGAAAACCTATGCGCAGAGCACACAGCCGGAATCTTCCTCTTTTTCACTCAGATCTAACTAGAAGAGCAACCAGAGGCAGGTCAACCCTTTACCATCTTGATCCCAAATGGATAAGACGTGATGACCCGCATTATGATGAGATGAGGTTGATTGGCAAGCTGATGCAGACGAAGGAACATGGCCAGGCTTCGGCACTTCCCTTATTCCACACAGCTTCGACGACATCACCATTACGGACTCTCTATAACCCCCCCACCCACTAAAAGCTGCCTTCTTCTTCATTGCGAGACGCAACGAACGTCCCTTTGCACAGGTGTTGCAGCAAAGGCAGAACAGTGGCAATAGGCGATAGACGAGACTACCTCGACAATACGACAGACCTTTTGACCGAGTGTACTTTGGCACAGACACATCTCCCCAATAGGGACGTCATCTCGGGTGAAGGGCCGCAGCAGTTTTTCACACATGTTCCGCCACCGCTCCTAGTGATACGGCAGCGAAATCGCAGCTAAGGACCCCCCATAACCCCCTTGGCAATAACTGTCCTGACTGTCTCTGCCTCCTCTGTGCCACTCCCCACCCAACCACTAAGTGGAAAACCATGTCCCGTCGGAGCCATGTCATCCTCAAAACAGATGCCTTCCAAGCTGCCGCAAACAGGCGTCGCAAAGCGTTCGGTGATTGCTCAGGCTCACCTGCACTGAGAGAAGCGTGTCTGTACGTCTGCCACCTGGCTGTATACGGTTCAACCGCCCGATTGCTTGATATCAATCAACCACCGATCCAGTTGAAGGCAATCTTAAGTCATCGATCTTCTGCTCCTCACATTGCCGAGTCCATTTTGCGCGGCGTATCCATACACAGATAGGCACTTCTACGGTGGACCCCCGAGATCGATGACGACTTGCAGACACATAAATGGACATGCGGCTGTGCTTAGGGGCATGTGTTTGATCAATTTGGCATGCATAGATGGTGCCACTTGAGACATCAGTCAAACGATAACCCCTGCCGGACATCGGACATCGGACTCTGGTTTTGACTCAGTATGGCCCCTTCTTCTGCAGTTAGTTTGGATTGTTGAGAGAGTTATCTCCAATGCGCCGGAGCAATATCAGGTGAGGGGCCGTACCATGTGCCCTACCGCATTTCAAGCAGTAGTGGCTTCCCTCATTTGGGCAAGGTCTTCGTCCTCGCCCAAAATGGCAGAATCCACTTTGAAAGAACTGTCGACATCCCATGTACTCTTCTGGTGCATCCATCAGCGCAATGTCAGGGCCATTCACCCCTCGACGAGCCTCAGCCTTCAACTCAACTTGAAGCGCCTTGATGGCATAATCCTCAAGCTGCACAAACTGGTGATTCAGAACAAAACACTTGCACAAGCAAAAGAGAGAGAGACACACAGACACACAAAAAGAGAGAGAGAGAGAGAGAGAGAGAGAGAGAGAGAGAGAGAGAGAGAG